TCAAAAATAGCTGGGGTGCGCGGGGGCGGCAAAGGCATAGGATCTTCCTTTCTTCGTTTATGGAGCAGGTACAGTTTGTATGCTATGTAGACGATAACTAGCACACAGGCGACGGACGCCAGCGGCACAATGATGGCCATATTGTTAGAGCCGTGGTGATCGTCATTGGGTGCGGGCGGGGAGGAAGTAGCTGGTGTCGGAATTATACTATGTGAAGTCGAAGACGGTGGTATTGAGCTTGTGGACAAAACCGAGGTCGAGCTGAGTGGGCGACTTGATGTCGCAGACCGACTGACAGAAGCGCTGGTCGAAGCTGTTCCCACTGGTCCAGACACTGTAGGGGGTCTCGAGGTCGTTCCACCTGGGGTTACAGGAGTCGAATTGGTCACAGGAGGAACAACCGACGACTGGGTGACTCCTGGAAGCGAAGCTGTAGGTTGGGTGACGGAGGCAGTAGCCATCCTTGAGATCCGTCAAATAAAAGAAGAAAAAGGGGAGCCCTTGGTAAAAGTCAGCGACAGAATATAAGCAGCAGAGATAATCAGCATCTACCAGAGGACCGGGAGGCGGGGAGAGGGGAGGAGGAGGAGAGAGAGTGAGCCTGTTTTATTGTTCAGTGCCGTCAGTCAATCGACAACCGCTGTCGAAATGAGACAAACAACTCGTCCGTCTTCAGAGCGCTACTGCCCTGCCCCGCCAGTCAGGCGCAGTCTTCTTTACTACGAATAAATTCCGCTTTTTTTTTTAAAAGTAATACCTAAAATTAAGATAGCGAGTGTGGTGGGCGCGAGGCTCTAGGTCGACCTCCACGAGACGGCCTCTGTGCACTCAACACTCGACCACACATGGCATTTGCACAAAACTTGGGCAGGCTGATAGGTTTGCAATATTATGACTATTTTAAGCACACGTATCTCACTGGTTGTCTCAGTGCCGACGTTTGTAGGGCTTACTCTCCTGAACGCATCTATCTATGATGTTCCGTGCGTTTTCTAGTCTCCTTCTCGTAAATCATGATAGCTGATACTATTTTATCACAGTGGAGGCTATCGTGCGGTCATGTTCGACCGCTTTTCAGGAGTCAAGGACAAGGTACGCGTGCCGCGGCAGAGAGTGCGATAGCAAACCAATCGACCAATCACTACACATAGCCCTCTCCTGAAGGAACTCACTTTCTCGTTCCATGGCTCCAAAGAGCAATCCTAATGGAGACACGAACAAAGCCCAAGGTTACTCAGCATCATTCATAATGTTTTTGCACGTCGCTGACTAGCTGTCTCAGCATATTCAAACCACAACAGGTTCAAAAGACCTTCAAATGATCTCTATAACTTTGAGAGTTTTGCTACGACCGGATGTCG